TTGTGGCAGGCACTTCCCATAATTTGACTTCAAGTGGCTTCGCAGCCAATCCAACAGCAAGCAGAAACACATAGTTGAGGACATGCTTAGCGATTTAAGTCTAACTCATGCTTGGGCTCTATATGCTACAGACGGCTGAATTATGTGCGGTCTAGGAGAACAAACAAACTGCTGCAGCACACCTGTGACAGCCAGCTGGCAAACCACGTCTTGCCACCGTTGCTCAATCATGTTCAATTGGCCTTTTGGCACATCGCTTAGAAGTGTTATAGGAAGGCCAAATCAAAAAGGCAATTCCACTGTTCTTCTTCGCACAGGGGTCAACATCACACACTCAAACTGGGGTCGTCTGCAAAATGCGCAGGAGGTCAGCCTTGACGGCTCTCTTCTGGACCTCTGGAACAAGTTTGGCACCAATCATGTCACATGTCCAACCTGTCCCAACCTGACGGCATGCTCACTTTTCTCCCCAGCTGAGCAGGGCGCCTGCGCCCACTTTGTCGACCATGTCCACGAGAACATGTCTGGTCTGTCGAAAAGTATTAAATGGAGCGGCGTCGTTGCACACGGGGTGCACACGCTGCGAAAGCATGATTAAAACCAGGACGCAGCACAGCCTAATGGACTAATGCTGGGAATTCGAAAACAAAGTGAGGTTGCTTTCTTCTCATCCTTTTGCAAAGCAAATGTGTTCTTGTTCTCGCTGTTCCAATCAAACGATATTGAGAGCTACAGTTTGGACATCCTGACTTTGGGAATGGTCTGTTCTGTTCGGTCGCGCTCCTCTCAAGGGCGTTCTCAACACAAACCACAGTTTAAAAAAAAATCCTGGCCAAAGAAAACTAGAGTCGCAGAGTCATTGGGTCAAGCCCCAAATGAGGATGGGCAGAAAACAAGTTGATACCTCGGCACTGGCTCTGGTATAAGCTGTTCAAAGCTTCGCCTCTGCTTCGCATGCACCTCGGCAGGCTTCTAAGGCTTGGGGTTGGCGCCCCGGATTGACTGGTGAGCAATATGGGGTCCGATCCAATGCCGGCCAGCGACCACGTTCACTCAATGCCGTGTTGATGAGAAGCTGTGAACTGCACCCACCCACACCCAAACCCACACACACACCCACACACGCGCACACACACAAACAAACAAACAAACAAACAAACAAACACACACACACACACACACCCAAGCACACAATCACACACACAATCACACACACAATCACAAACACACACACACACAATCACACACACAATTGCACACACAATCACACACACACACACACACGTCACACACACCCACACACGCGGGCACACACACAAACAAACAAACAAACAAACAAACCAATAAACAAACACACACACACACACACCAGCACACAATCACACACACAATCACACACACACAATCACACACACACAATCACACACACACAACCACACACACAATCACACACACAATCACACACACACACAATCACACACACAATCACACACACACAATCACACACACACAATCGCACACAAAATCACACACACACACAAAGTCACACACACACAAACAAACAAACAAACAAACAAACACACAGACACACACACACACGCAATGACACACACACACACACAATCACTCACACACACAATCACACATACAATCACACACACAATCACACACACAATCACACAAACACAAGCACACACACAATGACAAACACACATAAACGTACGGACGCACGGACGCACGCACGCACGCACGAACCCACACACACACATACACACATACACGCACACGCACGCACGCACGCAAACGCACACACACACAGACACACACACAGACACACACACAGACACACACACACACAATCACACAAACACAAGCACACACACACAATGACAAACACACATAAACGTACGGACGCACGGACGCACGCACGCACGCACGAACCCACACACACACACATACACACATACACGCACACGCACGCACGCACGCAAACGCACACACACACACAGACACACACACACAGACACACACACACAGACACAAACACAGACACAGACACAGACACAGACACAGACACACACACACACACACACACACACACACACACACACACACACACACACACACACACACACACACACACACACACACACACACACACACACACACACACACACACACGCACGCACGCACGCACGCACACGCACACGCACACGCACACGCACACGCACACGCACACGCACACGCACACACGCATACACGTACACACACGCACACAGACACAAACACATATAGACACACACGCGCACGGACACACACACACACACGTGCACGCGCACGAACACGCGCACGAGCACGCACACGCAGACGCGCAGGCGAACGCACAAGCACACAAGCACACGCACACGCACCCACACCCGCGCAGACACGCGGGGACTCACGCACCCACACGCACGCACACAGTCATACACACACCCACACGTGGGCATGAAGATGTCCTGTCACGTCCAACTTTGTTTTAAACTGCAGTAGTAATGCTTTGAAGCTTCATATTTCTGGAATCCATGATATGTTGCTGTTTGGGATGCTTGAAGCAGAAACATAGTTTTGACATTGCTGAAGTATGGCTAAAGAAGTGTTGCTTGGTTGGCCTGCCACCCACAGGTGTCCTGCCACCTTGCCCATATCAAATATAACCTCAAGCAAGACACGGCATGTGTGTCGAATGAGGCGTGTCCAAGGGCGACCTGGAGCCCTCTATGAGGCCCCGTTTTTTGGCGGGCCCAAAGAGCAAATGCGAAAGGGTGGAATACAAAAGCTGGATCTCATCAATTTTCAGGCGATCTGTCTCTCAAAACAGGGGCACAACACGCATTGTTTCCTTTTGGCTTCCCTTCAAAACTACCCAAACAAGGATGCACCATTTTCATAAACCCCATCTGCTTACACTTGGTCAATTGAGCGGCTGTCCATTACTCTCTGCCGGATGTCATGTTCAGGTGGAAGCCATGCAATAAAAAAGGGTTGAATGATGCCTGCACTATTTGTTCCTATGGCTGAAAAGTCGATCCATCCGGGATTCAGGGAGTTGGAGAAAAAAAAAAACTTCGGCCGAAAGCTCCCGTCGGCGCCTAGATGGATCTTGGCGATCTGCTTCCAGGACTTACAGCTCACATCGCCCGACTGACCGGAAGGCCGCGGTCGCAAACATATCACAAGGACCCTCCCTTTTACACACGGGCCCCCCCAAAAACGCGGAGGGGGGGGGGGGTCATGTTAATTTTTGCAACGGAGAGTAAGGACTGGGTTGAAGAACCACCAAGTCTATGTATTTGAGGCTTGGTCCTGGTCCTATGCCTTTTCCAAAGCCAAGCGAACAAATCAAGACTTTTGCGCCCGTAGCGAATCAACCATGTGGGTCACATGTGAGTGTATGATGTTTGAGAGTACGCTTTTGCGAGAATTTGAAGGGACCAACGCCAAAGAGTGAATTTGGGAAAGCATCGGGAGCAGCTTGCCTCGTGAGCCACCCCTCCCAAACATCTGCCTCGTGCTCCCACACGCTCAGCTCGCGGGCTGTAAAGTTTGCGTGGGAAGGCGTTGCCAGGTCTCCTGGCCGCAACAGACTGTGCGTTGAATCTACCTTCACAGCGGTTGGGCAAGGGCTTCGGCCAATCCTTGCTCTTGCCTCACACTTTGATGTAACAAAAGGGGGCGTACTTGTGAAGGCGGCCTCATAGGCCCTCATAGTGCATCAAGTGTGACTCTTCAAGCAGTCTAGCAAGCTCTTGCGGAGGGTATTTGACCCCGGCCAGGTTGGCACCTGTTCCCTGCAAGGAAGGATATCAGCCAGTGAAAGATACGACACCATTACCCTGTTTCAAATTACGTTCTTCTTTCAGAGAGCCGTCCTGGCTTCGAGCTTCTCAGCGTACTTGTATCTTTGCAATTCAGAGGAACGTGCAGCTGAAGACGCCACTGGAATGACACAGGAACAATCTTGCTTCCAGCAGTCCCTGAACAGTTTCTAGCCAGGTCGACCAATCAATCTCCACGGGATCTTATTTGAAGGCAGGTCTTGATGCCGAAATGCCTGCATTGGTTCGCGCGAGCGGTTATCAGAAGTATGGCTTTGCACCCGTCCAGGTGGTGAGGGTGTGAGATCGCCGTAGCACAGGGCCATGCACGGCTCGTAGCAGGAGATCCATCTGCTCTCGTCCGCGTCCAACAGCTGCAAGCCCTCACCAAGATCAGGAATCCTCAGCTGGCAAGTCCAACCGAACCTCAGAGCAAACATGCTTGAACCACACTAAACCCACAAGAAATCACAAGAAACATCAAGAAATCAATCATCACCACTCGCACAAGCAAACTAAGTAAGGCCTGTAGGTAAAGGATCGTCGCAAAAGGCAGCTGGTGTGCCAAGTCTGAAAAGAGCGCTGTAAGCTCCGGCGTCTTCTGCGCCGTCAGGTAAGCCTGTGGCAATGCACGGTGGCTGCTAGCCATATGTACTATGCCTAAAGTAAAGTTTCAAAATTGCTTGGCAGGAAAGGGCGACAACCAAGCCAACACGAATTGAGATGTGGTGTTCCTTGCGGCAAAACACGCGTAGAAGCAAGCGCAATGCATCATGCATCACAATGAGCAACTATAAACACCACAGGCAGTGAGTAAAGAATAACAACCACAAACAATGCCTCAGCCAATTCGTCCACAACTCCCAATCGAACTGCTGAGGAACACGACGGTAGAAATCGCAGCCCATCTCCAGGCCGGTAAACTTCACAGGAACGGCCTTTGCCCTCTGTGCACATCGCTGAGCCGCACGGCACACCTCCTGACAGTGGCAAACTGGCAGTGCATTGCTCAATATCCGCCATGTCATCCTGGGAGGAGAGGAGGGCTTGCCCGGCAGATTTCTTGCAAGACTAACTCCTCCAAGCTCCAACTTCTCTGACCCCTAAGTTATCGTTAAATCCATCGTATTTGTCTTCTACCAT